CAGCGTTAGAAAACCATAATGAAAAAATTCCAGCAACTGCAGTGTTTCAAGATACAAGATACATATACACACGAACACACACACATAAAACCCTAACCCATATTTATAGCGTTTTTTCTTTTACTTTGCTAGCAGTAAGACATGCTTGGAAGCTGTTAGGTGATAGGTTTAATTTTGATATGGAATCTCATGAAGACAACTCTGACATAACTCTACTCAAAAATTAGTGGTAAAACTTTTTACTAGAAAGAATGAGCGCAAAAGGGTATAATTACACTAGCTCAATTATTAACGGTTATGTTAAATCTTTTCAGCAGCTGCAAACAGAATTTTCTTTACCATCAATGCAATAATGAAGAAATATATACAGGTAAAACACATTTTGACAGCTCAATATGGACTTGATACTTTAGCAGTTTCTAAAATACCTGATATGTTATTAATACGAAAGAATTCAATTTCAGAATCCAAACCTACTTTTTCCTCCTTTCAAATGTTAAAGGAACAGTTTAAAATATCTATAACAAATATACAAGAAGCTTGGAATAAAGAATTGGAAACTCCAATCCTTTCAAACCAAGGGACTCAAGTTCTGAAGAATACTAAGCTTACGTCCTGTGATTTAAAGTTGAAATTAATCCATCAAAGGATTGTCTTTTGTATCTACTGGACACTATCTAAAATGTTTCATAAACGAGGAACTAATGAATATTTATTTTGGCGTTGCAAGAAATTTAAGGGCATCTTAACTTATACATGATGGTCATGTTCTTCCTTATACCCCTTTTGGAGAAATGTTATACAGCATAGTATGTTGACAGAATTATTGAGAAAACTCTAGTTTTTAAAGATATGAATATTGTACTGAATTATATATTAACTACTTAGAATTTAACATGTTCAGAACAAAGATGGGTTTTCCATACACTAATAATAGCAGAAAGCATAATCCTTAGGAGATGGAAAAATACTATAGTTCCAGATGTAAAAGACTGAATTTCAGGGATGTGTGATTTAGCAGTTTTTAAGAAAATTATATATTCTGTTAATCGGAAAATGTCACATTCTCTCCCCCTTTGGAAAAACATTTGGAAAGGCTCAGTGAACACTGAAAGCTTAGTTTCCCCTTTTAAAGACTTACAAAAGCCGGTGAACTTGAGATATACTTGTAATTATAGGTGGTGGTGGTGTTTTTATGTGTTTCCTTACTGTGTAATTTTTCCCTTTTGTTTTTGTGTGTGGTGAATTGTTTATTTTTATTTTATGTACGTCTGAAAATGGATTAATAAAACTATTAAAACTATTAAAACTATTAAAAATATTGAGAATGTACACACAATCAAAGAAAGTTCATCTGCAGAGGACTGATTTCTGCTTACAAACACATGTACATACAAACACACAAGTAAATAAATCTTTAGAATAAATATTGTATTCGTAACAAGCTGCTCTGCCCCCTCTTTTGAGCAAGAACCCAATTTCCCTCTGTCCTTTGTTTGGTAACAGTTAGCTGTGATACCATGGTCTTTATCTCTGACTGTGTGAGAGCCAATTCTCATAATTATGCTTTCTTCAAGGCACAATTTCCTGGTACTGTCAAAAGGAAAGAAAAGCATGTTCAAACTCAGTCAGCATGATTGGGCTTGCAGCTCCATGGTGAACATTAGTGTGGAATGCAGGAATAGATAATATAGTCAAACATAAAATACTACTTCAGACTAACATAATTTCTAAAAATATACTGAACTATATATATCTGTACTATCTGTAAGACCCTAGGTAGAATTTTTTTTAATTTCAGCCATCTATTCAATCATATCCTCTGAAATATTGTTGACCCATCTTTCAGAAGAGAAATGCAGAAGTCAGTATATCCATAAAACAACTTTTTTTTTTTAAAATCAATTCATATATATTAACAAAGCCATTCCAGGGGAAAAAAAAAACCCCTGCCTGAGAACTTTTCCTTCTAATCCAGAGACACAAGTAACGCCTCCAAAAACTCTAGATTCCACCTGCAAAAGTTGCTATTGGATTGTAATCTTAATGTAGTAGAGGGAAAATTATTACATACATGACTATAAGATATAATGTAAATGAAATGAATCAAGGTTTGGGAGTGCAACCTTCAGCACACAACTCAAAGTTCCACAGCTCAGAAAATTGTGAACTCTGCTCTAATCTCGTGCTTTAAGCATGAGAGTCTGTCTATACTGTCTCAGTGAACAAGGGTAAAGCCCCCTACAGATTTTAAGTGATAATGGCAGCATAGATATATGGTCAATTTAAATATGGTTTACAATAAACCACTGCTTGCTAGCCTCACATAACACACTAGACCATAAAACATGGTTTAAAAACCACACTTGCTGGATTGACACAGTAAGTGGATAAATCACATTTTGAATTAGCATGTGGTCCAAACTCAGAAAATATTTTAATTATTGTAATACAAATCTGTGTAAAATCCATTTATTTTATACTCAGCAGAATGGCTTAGCACTGTTATCAATGCATACTGGTAGAGGATGACCTCATGGTCTGGTCCAAGGGACCCTTCATAAATTATTAGAACCTGACCAATTATTATGTCTGAAAATGAACACTTTAGAAACAGATTATAAATTGTAGGCATATCTTAAGTTTATTATCTCACTGTAAATGCTTGAGGATGTGAACACTTATAGCAGGAGCCTCTTCACTCTTCCCACAAGAAATGACAAAAAGCTATTGTGTTTTCAGTCTTGAGTTGACATAGGCATGGAAAAAAAATCCACTCCACAGAATGACTTTAATATCTTTCCTGGAGCCTTCTCCAAGACACAATTAATATGCTATCTATTCATTCTTGAGGCATTGGAAAATTATACCAGCACAACATTTTGTGTCCCTATACCAATCCCCCCCTTCAAGAGTGAGAGAGAGAGAGAGAGATTTATTCATTTATATTCCACTCATCTTATGATCCTTGCAGGTCCACAACAATTATAACACATAATAGTAAAAAGTCAACTGTAAATTAAAATTGAAATTGAAATTAAGTTCAATGAAAATCACATAGCACAACTTTGACATCACAATCCTCCTCAAAGCCTCCAAATAACTTGGTTTTAACTAGTTTGTGAAAAACTCTGATAGTGTAGCCAAAAAAGCTTTTCTTGCACATGCCCACTGATCACTAAGGTTTGAAACAGTGCTAAGACTCACATGCTCTGGTTTTCTCTGCATTACCAAGAAGCACAGGCTATAGTACTATTTGAAAACTCTATTTCCATAGGCACTGAGTCTTGAAAGAGCTGGACTCTCCCGCTTTAATAGGTAGCCCCCAAGTCTGCTGATCAGCTGATTTTCAGGGTGGGGGCTGCTAGGTAAAGCAGTACAATCAAACTTGACACTTCCTGTAGCCCCCTGGTCAACTGATCAGCAGACTCTGAGAGGTAGTGATACAGCAAAAGAACCTACTTTTTTGATACCTATCATTTCTTGAAACCTACCAGTCAGCTGATCTGCAGACTCCAGGTCATCGGCAGAGGGACAGCTTGATTTAAACAGCCAGACTCTCCAGCTCCCCAAAACAAAATGGCCTTCAAAGATAATGTTCAGGGACTTAAGAAGGGGAATGTTGATTCCAGTCTAAAGTGGCTAGTACTGTAGGTACTTAGTAGATTCCATCCCCTACAGTCATTTGACTACAGTGCATGTCAGATTTTGCACATCTTGGAACTGGCAAATATTACTTTTGGCTTACGGCAATACAGCACTTTAACAATGGAACAGCTAAGAATGACTTAAGGTTGCCTGAGCTCTGAGCTGGAGACAAAATGAAGGCAATATCATGGGGACATAGCAGAAAGAAGAGATTTCCAGGCCATGATTATTCATAATTAAGGATTCTAGGGAAAAAATTGGTAATAACATTCACCGAGGAACAGGGTTTATTAAAGACTAAGAAAATGTTTGATTTTCATTTTGGTCTGGTCTGATACGCAGAGGGAATTTCTGGAGCAAAATTCACAGAAAAGCATGATTAAACAGTCTTGCTGCCAAATTCATCTTACGCAATATCCACAAGTTCCAAATTATCTTGTCTCCCAAAGTAATCCTGCCATCTCCTGTGAATATGAATTTCTTATTCCATAGAGAATTGCAAAAGATTATGATTGCCCCACTCCTGCTAAACTGTCCAACTTACCTTTGAGGACAGATGTAGTTTCTTCTTAGTTAAGTAGTCATTCAGGAATCCACCGTTACAGTAATCGTGAAATAGAGGGTGGGGATGGGATAGCATGCCCTTCATTCTTCCCCATTAAAGTTCCCCTTAGGACATCATACTCAAAAGACTTGTGCCTCTACTTGTCATTCTAGTCATATGTGAATTATTCTGAGAGCTTTGTATTTCATTATGTAAACCATGTCCCATAGCTCAAAATTGCTCACCTGCAAACCTAGAGGTAAATCCCATTCAGTTCTAATAGACATGTATAACATTGTCTAATTAACTGCTTTGTCTTCCATCTCTTTACCTAGTCCCTGAGCTAAATCAACATTCAAGCATCAGTGAACGTTCTGTTGGAAAACACAGAGGCCTAATTCATGCAGCTGTTTGCTGGCTATGCACATCAGACAATATATTAGGATAAAATGTGGTTGGCTAGCCTGTGCCTCAGAATGCTGTACAAACCCAGCCGGTATGATAAGTTTATTGTTCAGTGTGTTGGGTGAACACAGGCAACATAGTTGCTTGGTATGTTGGGCAATCCCAGCTCTTGTAATTTATGAACTATGGTTTTTTTAGTTAAATGTCAACCCAACCAATTTGGTTTATTCAACAAACTTTGGTTAAACAAACCACAGCTCAGATTCTCAACAGGATAATATCTTTATTTTAACAATAAACTACCATTGATCACCTGATAGTTTTATGTAGTCTGTTAACCAATAATCCACTAACAAAGAAATTAAAAGCCAACATCTCTACTGTTATTTTGACCAACACTGACATTAAACATTCCTGAAATATACGCTTACGTTGCCAAGGCTTTAATTGTAAGTATAAAGCTTCTTCGGAGTTTATGGCACCTTCCAATGCTATGATCTCTTGACAACTGTAACTTCTAACGATTTTTGAGAATGGGCTGATAGTGTCAAAGATACAAAACTACAAGTAAACGATTCATATAGAATTTTTTTTTTTTTTGCCCTAACAGTTGTTCACATTCCGCCACCCCTTACACCTCCAGATTTTGCAGACTACAATCTATGGAGGCCCGAGATGGGAAGAATCCGAAAAGCACCAGACTGGGGAAGACCGGCCCTCGACAGAGAAGCAGCAGCGAAATCAAATCCCGCGCAAGCGCCTTACAAGTATACTTGATGGAAACCGAAACTTATCACAGCAACAAAAATGATACAAAAGAGGATGACTATTTCGTACACGGAGTTTCTCGTACACCGCAACGCGTGGGAAGTCCGTTTCCTGTACGTGACTCACCACGTCCCACAGCCCCACACTACCCAGTAACCTCCAACCGCCCAAGCATGAACACGTAACCCACCCCTTCCGTCTTCCCTCCTCTAACGCTTTCTATGGACCTCCCCGAGAGCGTGAGGGAGCTAGCCAATGGGCGAACAGGGAGTCCTTTGGCGCTACCCAATCCTCACTGAGTGAAAACAGGAGCGCGCGGGGCGCAGCCCAATCGAGAGCAGCGAAGGAGGCTGTGTCCCGTCAGCCACCGGGCTGCGGCCGGGTAGCGTTCCTTGCGTCGCGTCAACCAATAGGAGCGGAGGACGCGGTGGTACATTGGCAAGGTGAGCGAGGGCGGGAGGGGCTTGGCTGCGCTGGTTGGAAGAACCGCGACTTTGAGGGTTCGGTGGAGTCTTTCTTTGCTCCAGAAGGTGAGCAGCGCGGCGCCTTGGAGCGGGGCGCAGGCGGCCGTAGGGGCTGCGCCCGGGGGCGGTAGAAGCCGTGCAGGAAGCCGGGGTGCTTGAGGGTGGAGACCGTTGGAAAGTAGTGACAGGGATGTACAGAGACGGCTGCATGGAGGAAGTCAGATAGGACGAAGGCCCCCAGCTGGTATTTGCATTTTTTCCCCACAACAGCGTCTTATTTCTGACCAACTGAGGATACCTTGCCTTAAATCTCTCAGTGCTTCCAGAAGTTGCAGAGGCTCCTCTCTGACGAGTCTCAGAGAATTTCCAACATGAGGCACCTTGCGGTTCCTGAGGTCACCGGTAGAGTTAGGCTACAATCCGTCGGTTCAAGGTGTAATCCTGATGCTAACAGAGAGTAAACTCAATTGAACATAGTGAAATTGGCTTCTGAATTAATATGTATTTGGCTGATGTAGGTGAGAACAAACGAATGAGTGGCTCTACTGTGACTTTCTAAAGGCTATGTATATTGTGCTGTACCATTCTGAGAAACTGGCAAAACAGGTAAAGAATGGGAGTTTAAATGGGAAGATAGAAATGAATGGTATGTCTAAATTTTTTAGATACCTAAATTGAGGTATATATAAAAAAAAATATATTATGTTGCTATTAGTGATGTATTCTAACATCTGGAAACAGATTAGTTAGAAAGCTACTATTTGAAGCAGAGAAACTGTGAGAAATCAGATTTTGTTATGAGATATCTGTAGCTGTACATTTGTAACTAATTGTGTTGATGTCTCCTAGGAACATCTTCTTTGAATCAGGATTTAATATTTTCCCTATCACTAACAGAGTCTATAACCTCTATAAAAAAGAGAAGGAAAAAAAGTAATTTTCTGTCAAGTAATATAGCTATGATATTCATCTGCTTTTCTGATAAGTTTTTATTATGTTATGGTAACTCTGTTGGGAGAGTCAGTGTGACACAATTAATAGCTGTCACATCTGGTTCTTCCATACCCTTTAATAGGATTCTTTGTTAATACAGGTAGTCCTCATTTAGCGACTGTTTGCAGTTACAACAGTGACAAAAAAGTAACTTTGCATTTATGCCTTCACAGGTCTATAAAGCAAAGGAAAGCTGAAGTAAGATCATAAGCACAGTTGTGGTTTCACTTAGTGACCGCTTTGTTTAACAACCAAGTTGCCAGTCCAAATTGTGGTTGCTAAATGACGACTACCTGTACTGTTTCTTTTAAATCTACCCTGAATTTAATTTTGGATTTATTCTTTGTTAAAACTATATTAGAAATGGAAAGACAAAGATAAAAGAAAAAATGTTCCTTTGGAATGGCAATATTTTGCTACACAGTGGAGGGTTGGGTTTTTTTATTCAGTGACTTTTTTAAGGTATGTGTATCTGATGATAAGTTTTTTCCTTCATTCAGGATAATCAGAATGCAGACTCCAGTAGCTCTTCTGGCTTCACCAGCTCTGGTAAGGAATGTTTGCCTTGTACCTGCCTTAAAGGAAAAGTAATAAATGACTTCATTTCTCTTAAATTATTTAATCCAGCTAATCTATAAGATCAATTATTAATACTCCTACATTACAGAGAAAGTTGAGTGACTTTTTCAAGACCTCACAATGAATGTTGGCATATTGTAAGTTGATCTTTGTTAAATTGGTTTCTGAAGAATTTATTAAAATAGTCTTCCAAAAAATCTGTAAAAATTTTGAACAAACATCTCCGATGTTATTTGTTCATCTGGTACATGCCTCTGTCAGTTATTAGTAACTGATAGATATGTGCAAAATGGACCCTCGTGGAACAATCAGGCTCTGGGCCATCCTGCTAATTTTCCACCCTGAAGTGTCTCAGTTAACCTTCAGAAAAGGCCAGTTTGAGTGTTTCAAGGGTGGTTTATCCATTTACAGAAGTAGTTAGAGTAGTATAGAAAATGGTTTCTGATTCCAGACAAGTTTGGAAGCAGCATGTATTTGGAGTACTACAATTTACTTCCTCTTCTTGAATAGCCCATTTCCAAAAATGCACAAATTATCCCTGGAATTCCTGGATTGGAGGTACAAGGAAAACAACAAACTGTTCCGGAACCAAATTGTTTCAACATGGTTTGTTTTCCACATCTCTTATGACTGACCAATTATCTTATAATTTAGAAAAGAAAGAACAAAGTGCCCTTGCCTGATTGCCTTGAAGTGATGTGTACTTGGTAGGAGGAAAAGGCAATTAACTGCATAATTACGTCTGTTCTAAAATATGTGCCCTGGCTATTTAAAACATTGCATTTTTATTTATTTATGTATTTATTATTGACAAAACTGTTTTGAAGTGAAAATATACAGCTACTGTATATACGGTATTTACAATATTTGCCATTTTCCCACAGTTAAAATAGTAAGTAATGTACTTTATTATGGTCCTAGACTAGAATATAACTAAAGGTATAAGCAATAAAGAAAATAACACCCATAACTTAACCTTAACCCATCTTATAAATCACCCCCATTTGATGAGGATTCAGTGTTCTAATGAATCCTTTTGCCAAAAAGCAGAACTTTTCAAATGTATGTGTTACTTTGGTGACTCTGTCTGCCGGTAGATAGTTTAAATAACATTCATCAAGGTGACCTAATCATTTTTTTTAAAAAATAAGGGCTGATTTAATCTAGTTTGAAAATATGAATAAAACTCACAGGGTAAGAAAACATGTCCAATTGATTCAGCCCCCCCTCCCCCGCTTTGAATGAATGTATTCTTTAGGGAGCTGAGATGATGATGGTCTAAAATAATTATCTGGACAATTTTTATGATAAAGAGTTCTTAAAAATAATAATGACTACAGAATCCCTATGTATTTATAAAGGAATTATGCAGCCTAGCTTATTTTATCAGTTTAATTTGCAGGTGTGCTTACAGTTGGTTTTGTTTCTGTATTTAAAATAGGAATGGACAATGTGCGGCTTGATTTGTTGAATTCCAATATCCATCAGCTGAACTGGTATAGCTATTAGTGAAGGATGTTGGCAGTTATAATCTAGCATCATTGAAAGTCTGCATATTGCCCATCCGTGTTTTAGGACTATAAAAATATCTATAAGCTATTGCCTGAAGATAGACAAAGAAATTTATCATCCAGATATAGGTTGGAGTTAAAAATAATTCTGTATTGGTAAATGCAGTAATTCTGGGTGCTGATGTTTGATATTTTATTATGTTTATCTAGAAACTGCACTGGAAACATTTGTTCATGGTGGTCTACAAATTATACAAAATATAAGAGTATAAACAATGTTTTGCAAAATTTAATATAATTTATTTGTGCAAAGTGGTCTGGATTGTACCCAGTGATGCTGCTGTACCTAATGTTTCTTAATATTAACCTGCAGTTTTCAGTTATCAGAGATTATAATGTGCTAAAATATGGGATAATCTTAGTATGTTTCATATGGGAGAATCAAAGAATTTTTTCTGTATTTATGGATGGAAATTCATTATTTCTAACCACATAGGCTTGTAAAACAGCTATTTAGTATAGACATTTGAAGTTTTAAGTTTTGCATTTTGTAATATAGAGTATGTACATACCTACGTATACTATTCTCTTTTGTGGTAGCCAAAGTGATGAAAGCACAGAGAAAGATTTAGAAATAGTAAGTCAAAGAAATTAAAGTCATGAATTAAGAGAAGAGACCAATGCCATTCATTATACCTCTCCATATCTTTCTATGTTTGCAAACCATCATGTCTATATACCACTTCATACATTGCATTTTGTTCTTTAAACTTCTTACCTCTTTCTTTTTCTACTCCCCCATTTTTACTGCATTCAATTTTCTTTTATGCTTCTCCTGACATATATGTATCTGAAACAAACAGACCCTTATAGTCACTATCCTCTTTCATCCTTGGGTATTTGTATGGCACAATCACTTTTTTGCTGTACTCTCATATTTTGTTTCTCTCATCCAGTCAGGTCACAGATATAACAAATTTCCATCCAGAATGACTTTTAACCTGGGTCACGTTCATTTAGAATATAGCACATTTTTTCCCCAAAATTTATCTCTGATTCTTCCATTTTTACTAACCATTGCAGCATAATGTGCAGTTATCACCAGTGCATGGATTTCTACTTGCCTATATATTCACAACAGCCTAGGTGACCTAGAGAGCCAGTTTGGTGTAATGATTAAGGTCCTGGCCCAGAAACCAGGAGACTGTTCTCAAAAAAACACAACATAGCTGACAAAATTGTTTCAATATCCTGATGCAGTTCCTCAAAGATATCTCTAAATACCATTTTAAATTACTTGTCTTATGATGTCTTCAATCTTAAAAACAATTTCTCTTTAAAACGATTCTTTGTAATTTCAGAGTCTTAATATTCAAAGTCCAATTTCCTACACTTTCTGAGCCCTTAATTTAAAAC